TGGAAGATCAAGTTGTGTCATTTGTTTTACTCCTTTTATTACAGTTTGTTTAGTACAATGAATCTACCCGCTGGCTTTCCCTGGATGAACCCTAAATGTTTGTCTTTTTCCTTCTTCTCCACAGATGACTGTACTTTCTCCTGTCTGAACATCATGCTTCCCCGTGCGGGTAAAGAGTTTCTGGTCCGGATACGGTTCAACTGGAGGCCGTTCTTCCAAGGCCGCTACCTGCTGGTCACCAATATCATGAGTGGAGGGGTGATGCTGTCTCTGGGAGACATCCTGCAGCAGACTCGGGAGAAACACAGGGATCCTGGCAAAATCAGAGACTGGAGCCGAACAGGTGACACGGAGTTTTATGCATTTAATGTCATACGTCATTTTCTTATTTTGGCTGATATGCAGGAGAGCTCCAGATCTGTACAGTTTCTAAAATAAAAATGTAATGAACTCAAGTCATTTTGGACAAAAGCATCTGCATTGTTGTTAGAATTATCTTTTGATTTGGGGATACAGAGGAGAGCATGCAAAAACAAATGTAGTTGTCAGCAGTAAAGATTCTGCCAACAGGATTATGCTTAAACACTTTTTAAAAAAACAATTCTTACAAAATAAAAAGGAACTCCTACTATTTTGTAATAATCTCATGTTGGGCTATCATGATTTATTTCATGCACGGCTGTTCTCTGTTTGGCTTCAAAGCTCACATGTTTGCCGTGGGCTGCTCCATGGGTCCTCTCCTGCACTACTGGTACATCTGGCTGGACAGAGTGTACGCGGGCAAAGCTCTCAAAACCTTGGTCAAGAAGGTTGTGGTGGACCAGCTGGTTGCTTCCCCGACTCTGGGCGTGTGGTATTTTTTAGGTGAGAAGGATTTTACTGGTACTAAGTAAGCTCTCCTCCTCCTGCTTCTCACATGTTGTTCAGGGTGTGAGCACCTGAACAGTTTGTCAGTGACGCACACGCACACTTGAGAGATCATGTACAGAGGCAAAGGTTGCGCATAAAGATGTGGGTAAGGAAAAACCCCGCGTATGTAATAATACGTATATGGGGTTCAAAGGGTATCTGTTTCGAGTAGGCTCAAGTTTAGCAGTTCACGTTTATAAGAGCGCTTATCTGAGGGTGGTTTTAATAAAGTGTGGCACTGACGCACGTCTGACAGAAAACTGTTTATCGCAGGTATGGATCTGATGGCGGGGCGCAGTTTATCCGAAGGATGGGCGGAGTTTAGAGGCAAGTTCTGGGAATTTTACAAGGTAAGTAAACCTGGAGGTTGAACATTAATTGTTCTTCATTCATCCCAACTGAAATTCTTCTTAGTCTTTAACAGAAGATGAGAATTTAGCGTTTAAACTGTAACTGAACATTGAGTAACATAAAATATAACTGTGCTCTACACAGCAAACAGAGGAACTTTACGAGTTACGACTATAAGTTTCATATAGTAATTTAGCTCTGTGCTCTTCTGTCTTAAATCTTGAGGTCGTTGTTGTTACTCAGAAACAAAACCCCAACCCAGCAGAGCAGATAAAACCTCCCAGTCTCAGCTGGTAACCTGCCGAGCAGACGGAGCACACTTCCCCCCTCTTGTCTGTTTCTGCAGTGTTTGCTCTGATTAATTAGTACCTGCTTGTTTATCTTAATGTCTGTTGTTCTTGCTGACAGGCAGACTGCTGCGTTTGGCCCGCTGCTCAGATGATCAACTTCTACTTTCTCTCGCCCAAGTTCCGCGTCGTGTACATCAACTTTGTCACCTTAGGGTGGGACACCTACCTCTCTTACCTCAAACACAGAGTAAGTCAACCACACAGGAAGTTTCTGGTTTTGTTACCTCTTATTTTACCAATTAACAGCTGTACGGTGCTGTGTGCAGCTCCTCCCAGCTCTGTGTGTTCTGTCTGCATACACATTTCTTCTGGGATGGCTAATGGAGCTGAAACTGTGTGTCGCTGGAAGCGGATGGTATGTTTCTGCTCTATGCTGATTGGCTGACAAGTGAGCTGAAATAGGGAAGAGTGTGACAGTGGAGTTCACCAGGAATGGAAGAAAATTTCAAAGATTAAGAAAAGCAGCATGGAAAGCGCAGGCAGCTACAGTGGACACTATTCATTGTTTGTAACAGTTTCACTTCAGCTCTTTGAATGTCAAATGAACTCTCTCTCCACGGCTGGTTGACCAACAACGGCACAAGAGAGAATGATCTACAGACGGGTTGCACCACATACTTTGTATGCTGCCTCATACAGCTGAGCTCCCTGCAGATAGACAGGCTATCCCTGGACTGCCAACGCCATCCCAGCTGAACCATAGGTTCCAGTATACAGGCAGCCAGTCGGAGGAAAGCTGCTTTAAGCAGGAGGCTGACAGTGGGTGAACTGAGGGGCTCTACAAAGGCTCAGTATGAGCTCAAAAGGATTAATATGGTATATTGGGACTCTTACTCACCAGCACTGCCCATGAGGTTCATTGCATCTCTGACTTTTCTAATCACTTATGTACAAAAGTGAAGTGATGTTGATCATGTCATTGCATCCACTGATTTGTATTGTCTTGACAGAAAGACGACCCCCATGCTGAGCTGGCATTAGACAGCAACGTTGCAGATGTACAGAAGGAAGTGCTGCCACAGTCCAAACCGTTGGAGGAGAAGGCTTAAAGAAGCTCAGTAGAGATGATACGTGTTGCTGTTTTTATGCGTTTATACTCTTCCTCCCTTTGGAACTGCTGTCGGACTGTTGTGTGCATGCAACAGTGTGTGTTCCTGTGTTGGTCACTCAGATTTAAACTGATGCGTCTCTGGGAAGTTTGAAGTTAAAGTGCTGGTACACGTCTTCTTAACTCCCAAAGAGTTTAAATGTGTCTGTTTATGTGTGAATGATGTGCGCATGGATGAGAAGCAGTTTCACTGCCCTCAGGTACAGCACTTACTGTCAGAGTGAATTGAGCGGCTGTTAAGGGGAAAGACTAAAAAGTCCCAAAAGTCATTGGACCCAAATTTTAAATCTGATTCTAGTAATGCTTTTACTTTATTTTTTTTAATATGCTTTATTAAAAAAAAACCAATATTGATGTGAGGGAGCTCTACTACATAACTGCTTCAACAACAAACCATGTCTTTGAACATTGCCTTAATATATCATCCAGTGCTGCGCTTGTTTTAATGTCAATCGCTCCATTTAACTTGTCCCTCTGAGGTCAAATGAAGCATGGTTATGGATCTATTTGTATTTTGTCATATCACATAGAATAACTGTTGAAAAGAAGTAATTTTTAACTGTGCAGTAGTTTTTCACTAGTTACTGTAAAATTGACGGAATATTTCTACCAGTTTAATTTATTGATGATTTTTATTTTTTTAGCTTTGGCAGGTCCAGTGATGATTTAGTTTATGTGATGATGGGGGGAGAAAAACCAGTATAAATGGTGTCAGCATAAACACTGAGGGTGGGGAGCGACACCATCTTCGGTGCTGCTGCTGTGTTCGTATAATGTATTTATTATATGAAATATTTTCCCAGAGTTCTCCACATAAAATGCATCATTGGTGTACTACCTGTGTAAAAGAACTGAGAAGCCATGTATCAGAAGTCTAAGATTTCTGAATGCTGAAGAATTTATTTTCACATAAATTCAAATCAAATAAAACAAATCTTTCTTTTGGCACTTTTGTGGTTCTATCCTAATTATCCATACAGTTTAGTTCGGACACATTATGTTACATGTTATCAATATTGAAGCAATTGAGAATTAAATGGAATAAAGCCCCCCCCCTTATTTTTATAACCCAAAAGTAAATATGATGATGTTTGCCCTCTTTATAAAGGAGGAGGCTATTACCATCACTGTGTTAGTGTCTTAACAGGAAATATTACGGACAATGTTACAGTTATTCTCATATGAATGACATTTTAAAAATGTATTATTTAATACTGTGCAAAATTCTTGAGCCACCCCTCCTTTTTAAATATTCTCCTTCACAATAACCAGACTTTCTTGGATTTTTAAAGTGGCTTTAAGCAATAGTTCCCTAGATCTCTTTCAGTTGTTTCCTTTGGACATTGACTGCCTTTTTACTCATTTTCACTCCAGTCCTTGTTCTGTACCATTTTCAGAGGAAACATAAGCAGGGCATGTTGTTGCTAGCAGCCCATCATAACAATGCATAATTTGCTCCCATTTATTTGGCCGAGTCTGAAATATGCCAACGATAACACCGCGTGTTGTGTTGTACCAGCATGGAGATTCCTAAAGAGCTCTAAGTTGGGAACCTCTGGATGGCAGTGTGACCTAAGAAAAACAAAGCGAAAACTGAATATCTACAGCAGATGAACGATGTCTGAAAGTCACGTCCTTTTGAAAAATGAAAACATCCAGAAAAGACCCGAAACATGACCTGAGAGACACACCTGACCCTTCAGCTACTGTTCACTGAGGCCTCATCAGAAATGATCTCAGGGGAAGGATGGATGCCAAGAAGTCAAATTTACGCAACAACTGGTCTGTATGTATAAAGTTTAAGCGATGTACACAATATCAAAAACCTTAAAACAGCATAAAAATGAAAGAAAGTAAAGTTGAAGACTCAACTTAAAAAGAATAACATGCGAGGCAGAAATAAGCTCCACTGCACCTGATTCAAAAAAAGTGTCAAACGTGCAGTGGACAAAATGATTTTCTTGTTGCATCGAAAATTAAGTGTCCAGCTCTGTGCTGCAGCATAAGCAGCCTGCAGAGTGCAGAGTGCAGAGTAAAAGACCTGGGATAGCATAGGTCATTGCAGCTGGCAGCATGAGACAACTTTCATGTTTAAAATCTATTTTAGAAGTAAAAACTAATCTGCAGCAGCCTGCAGCAGGAATAGAAGCAAAAGCAAACACACACAACCTTGTTTAAATATTGACTGATAGTGTGAAGGGTTTAATGCTTGATATGCAACAGCCCGTGTTTGGAGCACATCCTGCTGTCAAGGATGTAGTTACTGCGTGTGTGTGAGTGCATGTGCGTTTGTCTGTGAATGTCACTGATATGACTGCCAGCCACTTCCCCTCTCAACATGCCCGCAACGATGCACCTCACTCTGCTGGTGTCCCTGTTAACAGCGACAGTCATCAGTGGTAAGTCAGCATTTTTCAACAAGTTTTCACTTCTCAAAGTTTTGTGTTCAATATGTTTGAACGTTAGGCTGAAGTCTTGTAGAAGTGCAAATTTATGCAAACAGGAAGCTTCGTGCAGTGAGAGACAGTCGGCCGGTTTGCCTGTGGCAGCGCGGCTCTGGCTCTTGTTTTAAGTGTAATAAGAAGCAACCGTGTGTTGTCACAGAAACATTTGTATTCATTCTGTTGCTGTTCATTACTACAAAATTCATATCATAAGTAAAGCGTGCATCTGTAAAACATAAGGGGAAGTTAAGGTAGATGGGAAGTTCACACCTGGGTGTAGACTGGGACTAATATTTAATCAGTGATAGTGAGCTGAAGTCGAGCCTCCTGTGGCAAACACTTTACTGAACACACGTTGCAATTGCTTTAATATTACCTGACCCACTGCTACGCCCCGACACTTGCAGCATGTCGTAGTTTTCTGAAATTTACTTTGTTTTTGTTCTTTTGTCAAGTTTAAAGCCGTTTCTTGCCTCAGAAAGTTGTCACAGCATTCTTACCTTAAGCTCCTCTGGATCTTTGCCCACATGGCTGCGTACAAGTACAGTTATGTGGTTTAAAGCTCCTAAACGCTCATATATTTACCACTTAAAATCTCAGCTTCGTCACAGTTTGAAGGTTTTCCGGTGTGTTTTCTTTGTACACAAAGCGGATTTTAGGGGTAAAACAGTAACAGGTAGAGCAGCTACAGTGTTGATGAGGACCCCAACCTGAACCCTAAAGTGCCTACACTCAAACACCTGCCAAACTTCAATCCCACACGACTCCGTAAAGAAATCTAAAACCGTCTTCATAAACAGTCCGAGGCCACAAAGATGATGCACATATAGATTGTTATTGTCTCAGAGGTGTGAATCTAACATACGTAGCTTCCTTAACATGATTTTATGATAAACGTGGCGTGAGTGGGTGTGGGCGGTGACTAGAAGATGAAACTTACAGAGTTCCATGATGGAAGTGAGCTTTACGTAATGCATCATTACTATCGTGTTAATTACGTGTGACTTAAGTAATAGTGGCAAAACTCCAGAATAGTGAATTTAAAGGTGTAGCATTCAAAATTTCAAATCTGTGATAATAAAGCTTATATTTAGTATATTTAGGTTAAGGTAGGGTTACTTGATTAAAATGAATCAAATGTGCATTAAAAACATCCAGTGCAAATATGGAAAAAATGTAATTAAAACTTTCTTTGTGGTTTGTTGGCACCTTTAAGATGCCAACAAACCACTTGATCATTATCTCAATAAGGTGTGAATGCAGCATCTTATATTTATGTGCTGTTTGCTGCTCTGCAGAAACCACCACTTCCTTCAGCTCATCCACTGCACAAACAACAACAACACTCCAGACTACCACTGAACGAACAACACGTCCAACTACAGCTGAACGAACAACACGTCCAACTACAGCTGAAACGACAACACGTCCAACTACAGCTGAAACGACAACACGTCCAACTACAGCTGAAACGACAGTGCAGTCCACGACCGTCATCACTTCGGCTTCACCAAAAACGCAGCAGACAGACGACACCACCCCCAGCCCACCTCCTCAAACCACAGCAAACAACCAGACATCAAATGAGACAGCTTTGCCAACTGAAACAACGCTCCCATCTGCATCAGCATCACCAAACATCACTGCAACCACCACTGTGAACACAACCGACACAGGTCAAAAAACATCCAGTCCGCTCTTTTTTGCAATTTTAAAAGAAATTAATGCACTTTTGGGGGTTCAAGGACAGTGAGAAACAATACAGATGGACAAATTTGTACATAGCAGTGCCATACTTTATGACCTAAAGCAAACAAAATGCTTTTGCGTGCACAGAAGATTAAATTCATTTGCATGTTATGGTGGATTTCTTCTCAGGTTTCAATGAAATTTTGATGACAAGACCCAGATAGCAAGAAGACATTGACTAAACATTGTTTCAATATCAGATGCTTCTATTGAATCAACATTGAAATGTGACGTTGACCCAACGTCACTTTTGCACCCTTTTTTAATATTGAAACAACGTCAGGTTTTGACATTAATTCAACGTCAAATTTTCAAACACTGTTAATGTTGAAACAATGTCAGATTCTGATATTGAATCACTGTTGAACTCTGATGTTGATTTTCCATCTCTTTTGCACCCTTGGTTACTATTGAAACAATAAAGTCATGATTAAAAATCAGTACTTAAAAGGTATTTGTATTAATAAAAAACCGCTGCAAATTACCAGCAATACTTAAACCTGCAAAAAAGACAATTGTATATGATCCACAAATAGGAAACCCATAATATGCTGGACATTGTCTTACAATTTGTCATGTCCATAATAATATCCCTATAAAATGAAGCATCTGGCATTATGTAATAAAAATGACAGACATCTCTGTATCAATTACAAAGTAATTTATTATATTTTTAAAAAAGTTTCTTTGTTACATGTATTGGATACAGGTCACTTATTTTTTTTTAGTTTACTTGGGGATCAAACTGGATATCGGGCATCCTGCACCACCCATGTTTTCTGAAGGGTAGCGGAGACATTTCTGCACTGCTTGGGCGAAGGCAAACTCAGAAACAGCGTTTACCCCACCCGCTGAGTCAGGCCATCTAGGACACAAACAAACACAAAAAGAAGAAAAAAAAATGCCAAATTAGAGCTTAAATATGAATGACCTATTGTCTATTGTCTTCAGCAGGGAGAAAGCATCTAAACTACTAGGCTGATTAATATGAAAGTCACAAGGCAGAAATCAGGAAACTGCTGCCTCACTTTGATTCTCAAAGAGCCATTAGCTAAAAAGCTCAAAGCCTATAAAGATAAAATGAATAAACTAAACTATTTGCAGTGAAATGCATTTCTATTCCTATGTCTTGGATCTGCCAACGATAGCCTGCTGTTGTCTATTCAAGCAGAACATACAGGAAAAGGCCATTTTTAAACAGTTTAACCAAATTTGACAATTTCTAAAGTTCAGGGCTACTAAAGTCCCACAATCTTTAAGAACTTACCATTGCTTTATTTGCCTCCGGTCATTGCAGTTCATCCCGTCTATGTTGTTAAATGGCTAATCCAGAGGCAATGCCCTAGCATGAACAGGGTCAGTGCTGCAGGATTAACGGAAGCCTCTGAACTTCTCACGGAGGTCCCTGACTTCTCTGATCAGCTCTGTTATCATGATTATAAGTTTTTTGGAAGGCTGCATCTATTGAAAAGAACAATAACACAAAGAATACTGGCTTGTGATAAACTGGATAAGCATTGTGATGAGAAAAACAACTATATCCATAAGTGACAAACAACTGCCCAGGGGAATTTATTTGTCATGACAAATTCCCCTGGGCAGTTGTTTGTTTAAGTCAATTAATAAATGAGGCATAAAACCAATGGTGTGACTTGTGCAAAGCAAATATGATTTCTTCTTACATTAGAATAATTTCAGCTGTGTCCAGCAAATATTGCATTTGTTTATCTCATCGTTTCTCTGTTTGTCTCCCCCTCAGGTTTGTCACCCGACTGGGAAAAAGATGACCTGGCGTCAAACCCCGGCCTAGTCGCTATCATTTGCATCTTCTGTATCGTCCTCGCCCTCGTTCTCGTGGTACTCACAGTGAAATGTATCCGATCGCCGAGATCCAATTTTGAGAGGCTCGAAAATATGCCGATGGTGAGATAGAAAACGTGACAGATATTCACAGTTCCAGAGGGTGAATCCTAATCTTAATCTTACTGTAGGTCTGGTGTACCTCTTAAAAATCAGCACTGAAACACACAAAATGACAAACTTCTTGAATATTGTTTCAAGAATATAATTCATGAGTAACAGTATGAGGCTCTGCCTGCTGTAGGTTACTCATCCCAGCAGGGGGAGGCACGTGCTGGTTAACACGTAGAAAACATGGATTTGCCCGTAACATGGATTTGGAGCAAGGCCAACACGTTCCAGGATTTTGCTTCACGGGGATGTTAACTGTCAGCCCCGCACCATGAGTAACACGTAAAAGTTTCCCAGCATTAAATGTCGTCTTCTTCTTCTTCCTGTCTCCTTAGTAATGAGGACAGTGGTTTCTCATTTACACGAACAGGAAGTGTGAGTGGATTGTCAGTGTGTGAAAAGTATGGTGAGGATTTCTCAAGAGAAGCTTATCATTAGAGCCGCATCAGTGCGTCACCAGATACTTTTAAACTGTTGGCATTTCTCAATCTCAGCAGCAAGGGTCTAATCAAGAAGGAGATTTCGGAAAAGCAAACCTTCTCTCACACACTTACGGAGCACTTACAAGTTCATGTATGTACTCTGGTGTGCAGAGAAAATATCACAAAGACAGATGACCCACAATGAGGCTGCCAATATGTGTGAAATAGAATAAAATACTGCTGTTCTGGTAACCGCTGCAAAACTAGACCTGCAGCGCTGTACGGACCAGTGTTCTTTATAAGGTGTTCGACGAGTGTAAATCTTTATTGCTGCATGACTGGGCATTGTGCTGGAATGTACTTTATACCGTACGAGCTACATATCCAACAACATGGGCTGAAAAACAACTGATCCTCCAAAATGAGCAGGTCGGGACTTAATGATAACTTGCAGGGTTAATAAATGACAAACAATCCCCTGTAGAAATCTGATAATATGATCTAGATCAGGGGTAGGCAACTCCAGGCCTCGAGTGCCGGTGTCCTGGAGGTTTTAGATATGTCCATGATCCATCACAGCTGATTTAAAGGACTAAATGACTCCTCAGCAGTTCTCCAGAGGCCTGGTAATGAACTAATCATTTGATTCAGGTGTGTTAACCCAGGGTGGGATCTAAAACCTGCAGGACACTGGCACTCGAGGCCTGGAGTTGCCTACCCCTGATCTAGATAAAGTCCATGTATGACCACATCCATGACGCTTTTTTCTTCACACATTCTTAGCTATTTCCTTTTGATTATTCCTGACATTATGAGAAAAGAGAATAAGATAAGTATGAAACATTTAAGCTTCCCTTCCCAGGAGTTTCTCAACCTCATCTTCACATGGTAATCCCTTCTGACATTCACCAATTTAACATTTAAAACGCGTAAAAAGACGATTTTTTTTTAGACGCTTGTCTCCGTCAGCTGATTATCAGTCCTTAACGTTAATTACATTAATGTGCCTAAAGCGGGACAGCAAAGACTTCACCTATTGTTAATCTGAACGGAAAAAATAAAAATAAAAATATGCCTACAGGCAATCACTGTAATCAGATAAAAGAAAGACAACAGAACATATTGTACTGTAAAAGAACCACTTTAGTTCAGATGGTAAAGCAGGTACCACTGGACATTCAGTTTTTATCACCACGCTGACTGCTGGTTAACTGTGAATGGGTGGTTTGTTTTCTGTGAACTCTCAGGGCAAAGTGAATGAGGAGTCTCCGTTCGCCCACTACTCGAAATGACAGAATGCGCTTGTGGACGCCGAAGGCCCGGGACGGGTCCAACCTGCCGAACGACTCTGACATCATCAGGCTCGTCTTTACGTAGCACTTTATTCAATGCCAGTGAAATATTTTGGCCTCAGCGTTAACTTTTGACCTGCTTAATTCATTTTGGTTTTAATTAAGTGTAATCAGCTAACTACAACTGTCGCTTCCTCCATAGTAAAATCTGAAAATCAGCCTGAAGGGTAAACCTTCATACATAACGCTTGCTAAACTGGTGACATGTTTACTCTTGTAAGCACTACAACTCAGAATTACACTGGTGATTTAATAAGAGTGCAGATTTCGATTTTACATAACGCTTTAACAAAGTCATAACTGGAATGCACAAGTGTACAAATGTGATCTTATCAGGAGTGGCATATATGACGTATGAATTGTGGGGTCTGAGGTCTTCTGTGCAAGCAAAGCTCAGACGCAGAAAGTCACAGTGCTGAGCACGTTTTAGACCACCGGTCAGTGTAAGGTTTATGCCATAGCTGTTATAAATTAACAGTTCTGGTACTTACCAAAATCATTTTTTAATGTTTCTGTAATAGTTAAACCACCAGTGTGCTCTTAAATTAAGATCCTATTTTTAATGCTAAAATATAAATATTGTTGTCATTATTTTCAAATTTACTGTTATAATAATAGAATAAAAAGAGTAAAGGCATCATTAGTTTATGATTAAATTAAATTTGATTAAATTACAGTTAGTTACTTGCATTCCTGAACAGAACAATTACTGCTTGAACGTCATGCTTCTTCTCCCCTTCTGTTTTTCTTTTCCTTCCTCTTTCTTTCTCCCTTTCCTATCCCTCACTCATGTCTG